AACAAGCCCTCTAGCAGTCACACGTGAAACTAACTAAACTTCAAATATTATAACATTTGTAGCTCTTCTCAACTAGCCCAAGTTTGTTAAAATTGACTCAGCCGTGTCGAAAATACAGGGTGTTTTTTAAGGAAACCTTTGAATACCCCCACCACTTTATTTTTAGAGATACAGAAAAAATTGTTAAACAAAGACGTTCAGATTATCCTTAGGACTTAAAGACCAGGTATTTTGTTACGTTTTGTTACATTTTTTGCCGCAAGTATGGACAGGTTCCCAAGTACCTCGCATTCTTATTTGTCCACCCTGTACATGTCGTATAATACCTTTTACTATTTGGCATCATTGCAGTGGCTTCATCGACTCAAAAAACTGGTCGCGTACAAGAGCCTGTCGTTATCATAACAGCCTATACAGGGTTATCCAAATTAAGTGTCCACCATTAGTAACTTTGTTATTAGTGAAAATACAAAGTTGTTTGAATTAGCAAACTAGTAGCATTTTTAACGCTGGTAAAAATGAGAAATAAAAAAAAAACAATTGAGAGTCATTATTTTGATTTTTTTCAGTAAAATAACATTTTTTTAAATGGAAACCCCTGTATATTATATTTTTTTCTGTTAAAGCATCAAATTTTAAACAAAAAAGCTTACAATAACTTTTCTCCTAGGTTACAAATTGTTGAAGTTATGGCCTCCAATCTGAAACAATTAAATTGTATCGACAAACTTTATTTTCAACATCAACTTATAATCTTACAAAATACAATAACAATTTTTTTTAAAGAAGATGCTCGAAAACACCACCTTGTTCTTCAATACATTTTTGGGCACGTTTTTCAACTGCTCGAACTGTCTTAAGTATGGTCCTACCATCTATCTGGGTTATCTTTTCCCTAACTGCAGTCTTTAACGCGTCAAGGTTATCGTACCTTGGCTTGTAAATTTGGTTCTTTAAGTAACCCCACAAGAAGTAATCAAGTGGGTTTAGATCTGGTGATCTGGGAGGCCACTGTATTGGGCCATTTGTTCCTATCCACTGATCATTAAAAGTAGTACTTAGAAAATGATAAGTACCTCTGCAGTTGTGGGCAGGTGCGCCATCTTGCTGAAAATGCAGATGATGTCTACTTATAAGATCCAATTCGTCTAAGAAATTAGTCAGAATTTCTCACATATATTCCAGATATCTTTCACCAGTTAGGGTTCCCTCATAAAAGAACGGGCCAACAATTTTTGAACCAATTATACCGCACCAAACGTTGAAACTGAAACGGACTTGTGGGCCTCTTGGATGTACTAACAAAAGATTTTCTCTTGACCAATAATGGTGGTTTTTTCTATTAAACATTCCAGAATTTGAAAAATTTGATTCATCTGTCCATAAAAGGTAACGAAAGTTATTTACATTTTGGCGACAGAAGCTAAGATACCAATGGCAAAAAACAAGTCTTCTCTCTGGATCTCCTGCCAAAAGCGTTTGAACTGGTCGGTACTTATACGGAATAAATTTGTATTTTTTTAAAATCCTTTGAACAGTACCATAACTGAAATTAGAGTCCTTGAGAATATCTGCTATTGAATTCTCACGATAAGCTTCAAAATATCCAATAACTGCAATTTCCGTGGCCTCGCTTATTATGAATTCTTTTTTTGCCCTTGTTTTAGCAAAGACATTTTCGTTGCCCCTAAATTTTCGATAAAGTCTCAGAAAATATCGTTCATACGGTTGAATGCGAGCGGGATATAATTCACTGTAGTATTCTCTTGCTCTCAAGGAGGATTTTCTGCACACTAAATAGCATTCTAACATATCACACTTTTCTTCATGGGAGAACATTTTTCTTTAAATTAATGACACAATAAAGCTTATAAACAAGTATTTACACTAATGTTTGACATTATTTGATTTTATCATTGTTTTCCAAAGCCTTCTAGTTGCGAGTATGTCCAGTTTAACAATTTGTCGCTTATCTTAATGCTGTCAAATCGCGAACGCCATGTTGTTTTCATAGCCGTCTTAATATTATAATACTGCAAATAATTAAAAATATTTATCTTTATTTTGACTTTATTTTTGACTTTAGCGGAAAAGTCATTATGAACTTTTTTGTTTAAAATTTGATGCTTTAACAGAAAAAAATATAATATACAGGGATTTCCATTTAAAAAAATGTTATTTTACTGAAAAAAATCAAAATAACGACTCTCAATTGTTTTTTTTTATTTCTCATTTTTACCAGCGTTAAAAATGCTACTAGTTTGCTAATTCAAACAACTTTGTATTTTCACTAATAACAAAGTTACTAATGGTGGACACTTAATTTGGATAACCCTGTATAATACGTAATATCCAATGATTATCAATGGCCGTCTCTGATTATCCCGTAGCCAGGCGATGCCTACCTCGATTAATCATAGGAAACAAGACGGAAACAAAAGACGATCATCCAGCCTCTAGATGGTTTCTTAATTACGACTCGTTGCATTTCCTGATGGGGTAATTGAGGCCTACAGAAAAACGTTTACGTCTGAAAGTGAAAAAGTTTAACTGTACGAGTACGAACAGAGAACTTAGCGTCGGCATTAGCCTATAACTAATGGTGGTTCGTTCAGATGGTGGTAGTGATTAAGGGAATATGTATTGCAAAGCTGTTGTTTTGAAACTAACGATGCACGACTCGTGGCGTTGTTGGGCTCAAATCTGATGTAAAACGAAAACAGAATTACAATGTGCCAGCAAAATCAATGCGTACTGGGTAAATCAGGTATCTCGCGGATAAATATAATAAAAAACGTTTTTGAAAACATGCTTTTTATTATCCGTTCATAAAATTAATTAAAAATCTGAAAATTTCAGTTTATTCCTATGGGAAATATTTAAACGAAAATGAAGCATTTACACCCTTTTTATATCCTGCTGTCAAAACGTGCCTTTATTTGAAAACTCGAGATGAAAGAGCTTCATTATAGTTTAAATATTTCCAAACGAAATAAACGTTTTTAAATTTTCATTCATTTAATGAACAGCTAAATAAAAGCTTGTTTTTAAAAATGTATTTTGTATTTTATTTATTTTTGACATTTCAGTATTCATGAATCCAAATAAGTAGTTTGGTAGTTTCTATATAACTTCCACGTTAAACTACATAAAACCTCTTACTTTTTGTATTATAAATGTCGCTAGGTATTAATTATATAACGATAAATCGATATTTTTCGTCGATTGCCATTAGGAATTTAGATTGACGTTATTTGCTTATCGTGTTTTACTCTTTAACCCCTCCGATTTGATACCCATGTCATAGCGGTGATCATGGAAATTGCAAACCGCCATTCAGACGCAGATGCTATATTGAATCTAGAATGTTCCACTCATCAAGGCCTTCCATTTGATACCCATAGTATAGGGGTGACAATGGAAATCATAAACTGCTTCTTGGGGCGGCGTCATATTCGATTTAGAATGACGTCACTTTGCCTATTCTGTTACTCTCATTAAGCTATTATATTTCACACACAAATCACAGGGGTAACTGTGAAAAATGTAGATAGCAATTTTGAGTTGGCCGCCATATTGGTTTCAAAATGACGTCACCTTGCTTATTGCGTTTCTCTCATCAAGCCCTTTTATTTGATACCCATATCATAGAGGCGACGATGAAATATGTAGATCACCGTTTCGCTCCTGTCGTCATACTGGATTTGAAATGACATCACTCTGTTTAGTGTGTTTCTCTCATTAAGCTATTATATTTCACACCCAAATCATAGGGGTAACTGTGAAAAATGTAGATCGCAATTTTGAGTTGGCCGCCATATAGAATTCAAAATGACTCCATCCTGCTTATTGCGTTTCTCTCAACAAGCCCTTTTATTTGATACCCATATCATAGGGGCGACGATGAAATATGTAAATCACCGTTTCGCTCCTGTCATACTGGATTTAGAATGGCATCACTCTGTTTATTGTGTTTCTCTCATCAAGCTATTGTATTTCACACCCAAATCATAGGGGTAACAGTGAAAGATGTAGTTCGCAATTTTCAATTGGCCGCCATATTGGATTCACAATGACTCCACCCTGCTTATTGCGTTTCTCTCAACAAGCCCTTTTATTTGATACCCATAATATCATAGGGGCGGCGATGAAATATGTAAATCGAAATTTCGCGCCTGTCGTCATACTGGATTTAGAATGACATCACTCTGTTTATTATGTTTCTCTCATCAAGCTATCGTATTTCACACCCAAATCATAGGTGTAACAGTGAAAAATGTAGATCGCAATTTTGAGTTGGCCGCCATATAGGATTCAAAAGGACTCCACCCTGCTTATTGCGTTTCTCTCAACAAGCCCTTTTATTTGATACCCATATCACAGGTGCGTCGATGAAATATGTAAATCACTGTTTCGCTCCTGTCGTCATACTGGATTTAGAATGATATCACTGTGTTTATTGTGTTTCTCTCATCAAGCTATTGTATTTCACACCCAAATCATAGGGGTAACAGTGAAACATGTAGATCGCAATTTTGAGTTGGCCGCCATATTGGATTCAAAATGACGTCACCTTGCTTATTGTGTTTCTCTCGTCAAGCCCTTTTATTTGATACCCATATCATAGGGGTTAATGTGGAAATGATACGTCATTTTATAGCAGCCGCCATATTGAATCCAAAATGGCGGTGGTTAATCGATTTTGTATATTCCCGAAAACCAAACGTGTGTACAAAATTTCAAATCACTTGGTTAAGGTTAACTGGTTCAAAATGCAGTTCCAAGATTTGGCAGGCAAATACTAACATGCATACAAACAGATCAAGGTAAATAAAATCTTGAAAGAAGAAGCCTCTTTTATCATGTATCCTAACTCTATTACCAAGAATATTATGCCAGTCCTCATATTGCTATAGCTACAGTAGACTTGAGACTATTCGCCCATTGAACATAGTATAGGATATAACATTGGGATAAAATACTAGCTACCAGATTCTTACCTGTGGTGGTACGTTCTTTATCTTGAACTCCCTCTCGCTAGCCTCCAGCGGCGGTCCTTGCTTGAAGCTCTTATCGCCAAACAGTCTATACACCACCCTGAATCCCAATATATTCGCTGTCTCACTCCCCCATTTGATAATCACGGAATTGTCTTGTCTAAAAGCATCTTTCACTATCACTTCCTTGCTTTCGTCACTTTTACTCCTCGAGGGATACCCCGCACCAAGCACCATCGAAGGTCTGCTTTTGTTGTTCCATTGGTTGCTTGGTCCTTTCAATTTGGGCTTCACCGTCGTGGTGCTCGTCGTACCCTGCTTGGTGGTGCCGGTAGATACTCTTGTAGTCGTTGTGGTCACTGAGGTCGACGTCGTGATCGTTGTTTTGCTGGTTGGTTGCTTGGTGGTAGTGCTGGTTGTGCTCGATTTGGTGAGGTCCGGGTTCGTAGCAACCAAATCATCCAAATCGGCGCTTACGACTGTAGCTACTCCCACGTGCTCTTTTTGCGTGGGTTCCAAAGCTGTTTCCTGAGTTTCCAGCTTGCCAGGTGTGGTGGTTTCTTGTTTTTTGCAACCCAGCTCTTCGATCTGGATGCTGTAGAAGCCTCGGTCTCGAAATCGCGCTGGGCTTCCGCAGAATTGAGGATTGCGCTCTCTGCTCGTCACTTGGAGGTCTCCGTTGCGTATCCAATTGATAACCTGTTGAAATCAATCATAGAAAATAGTACCTAATAGATCGTCCTGGCGTTTGAAACGGGTCTCATGTTGTCCAGTTTCATCTATACGTTATGGCAATCAAAAATACGTAGGTTTTTGTCAGAAGAGTCAAAGTATTTTTGGGCAGCCACATAGGCAAACCAAACAAAAAACTTGAGGAGCAAAGCCCCTTGACATAGTGGTAGAAGAGAGCTAGGAAGCCAACGGCTGGCAAAAATAAAAAAAATTAAGTAATGGAAATTGATAAATTTCGTCATGCATCTGAAAGTTGCTATTTGGAATAATTAATTGGCCATGAAGACAAAATCTTGTTCACACCACCTTCGCCATGACAGATCGTCAACCTTGACGTTGGAGGTGAGGAAGTATTAACTTTTTTTGTGGTGATCGAAATAATTGTCAAACTTGAAGTAGTATGTGTTTGGGGATACTCACCCAAGCCAGTCTGCAGTCACAATGTAGGAACCTCCCTCCAAGACTCAATCCTCTAAGCGTGCCGTTTAGGTGTGATAGAGCCTCAAATGGTATCGTTGCTAGGGGATTTCCGTCTAGCGCCAGGAGCGTGATAGATGGATTGCCCTTAAAAGCGTCCAAGGGAAGCTCTGTTAGCAAGTTGAATCCAATGTCCAGGACTCTAAGTTCTTTCAAAGAGCTGACCGCGGCAGTTGGGAAGTCTGGTAAAAGATTATTGAGCAAGCTCAATGATGTTAGAGTTTTCCTCACTCCAATGAAGGCATCCGCGTGCAGCGTTTGGATCAAGTTCCTTTCCAGATTCAGGGCTGTTAGCGAGTCGAGTTCTTCGAAGGTATTTTCACCTTCAGTTCCGGGAAGCTCTCTCAGTGTATTTTGAGACATGTCCAGGAATGAGAGTGTCCGCATACCGCGAACTGCTTTTGGTACTTCCTTTTGCCTTGTACCTTTCAGATTGAGGTTCTTCAATGAGCCTTGCAATCCCCTTAAAGCTCCATCCTCTAGTGTTACATTGTTATCCGACAGTTTCAAAGTTGTTAGTTTGCTCAAGGTCTCAAATGAACCCGCTGCAATTTTATTGATCTTGTTATGGCTCAGATCCAGGAGCGACAATGTTTTCAGCGGTTTCAAAGAGAGTACAGGTACTTCAGTTAAATCGTTATCTTGCAAATTGAGGTTTTTCAGATGCTCTTCCTGGCCCTTGAACGCGCCAGGAGCAACCTTTTTGATCTTACATCCTGACAACTGGATATTCTCTACTTTTAACGGCTCGAAGATATTATCTTTCAATTCGACAATGGTAGAGTTGTTGACGTAGAGCAAATCCAAGGGTGTCGCGGTGGCGTATCGGTGCAGAGCCGTCAGAAGGCTCGTCCAGTTCACGATGTCGCATTGGACGGACAGCTCGTGGCCTAAGTTGTAAGAGCAAAGGCAGGCTGATTGTAGTTCCGGCACTTCTCGCTGCCATGGACATTGTGCGGATGCAGCTATAAACAGCGCTGCTGTGAACAGCAGGCTGAGCGTGGACCATCTCTTCATGACCTGTAACAAAGGATGAACGTTTATGTTGTTGAAAATGCCACAAACTTTTTAATCGTTAAAGGATTTTGATATTTTGTTGAAAATGACAATATAAATTTTGACTTCATTAGGACGAAATGCTGCCAATTGCTACACGTACATTGATTTAACCGTTCAATGCCACTGCCGCCTATTGGCGACACTGATGTATGTACTGCTGTGCCTCCGTCGCCATAGGGCGATGCGCCTGATCTATTATTATATGGTGATTTTTTCATTCCCTACTATGAATTGCGTTGATAAATTGTTTGAACGCTATTCATTTGAATACAAATAATGTTGTCGCCAAATGGCGACACCGGCACCCCAGTCCTAAATTCTACCTATAGTGCCAGTGTCGCCATCTGGCGACCAAAGAAGAATTCGGGTAAGAAAATATTCGATAATTACAATATATCTCTCTTTTAGTATCATTTAAAGCAATTTTCAGGCAAAAAACTAAAAACTCCTTGGCCACGCACTAGATCTAACAACATTTTACTTGCAGCGAACGTGTTAAGGAAGTAGATTATACAGGAATGTAGAGAACAATGCAATTTACCTACAAAATGAGACAAAATTACTTGTATACCAATAATCCTAGAAAGCGATATTACTGACCACTTCTCCACTATTTTACTGATATCTTCAAATGAAAAACATTCTAACATCCCTACCGTTAGTAACAACCAGGAAAATTACAAATTTTTTGTCGACAATTCAAAACTAATATCAAATGTCAAACAAGAATCCTGGGAACAATTATACTCTATAAATAATATAGACAAAGCAACGGGACTGTTCATAGAGAAAATAAAAAAACTAATATATATTAGTACCAATAAAGTAATAATTAGTCACAAAGATAAAAGCAGAAATGCCTGGATTACCAAAGGATTAATAACATCGGCAATAGAAAAAAAAAGACTATATAATGTAATGAAACTAACGCCAACTACAGAGAATACCGACTGCTACAACCAATATAAAAATAAATTTATAGAGCTTGTAAGACAAACCAAACGAAAACATTACCTAAATAAATTGAAAAATAACTTAAATGATCCTAAGCGGCTTTGGACAACTATTGATGAGATTACTGGGAAAACAAAAGTTAAAGAGTGTGTCACTGAGTTAAATACAACATCGGGAACAGTATTAAAAAATACTCAACAGATATGCGATGAATTTGTACAATTCTTTACTGACATAGGCAAAAATTTAGCAAGTAATATATACGTACAAGCAAATGTACAAAATACTCAGCCTCTAAAAAGAACTTTGAACTCATTTATTTTGGATAAAGTCGAGCAAAGTGAAGTATAAACCACTGTTATGTCCTTAAAAAATCGGAAAAGTCCTGGGTTCGATGGTATTAAAAGCGAGCATTTGAAAATTATAGCCGAGGACATAACAGAACCACTCACTTACCTAATCAACAAATGCTTTGAATCTGGCATATATCCCTCAATTTTAAAAAAAAGGTAATATAATACAGATACATAAATCAGGAACAAAAACACATGTTAACAACTATAGACCAATATCAATAATATCCAGTGTAGCAAAGGTTTTTGAAAAAGTTTTATCTACTAGAATGATTCGATACCTCACAAAATTCAAAATTTTAAGTGAAAATCAATATGGATTTACAGAAGGGAAGGCCTCATCGGACGAAATAACTAAAATTGTAAATCAAATACATCAAAATATTGATAACAGAATCCCTTCAATCTGCATTTTTGTTGATTTAAAGAAAGCTTTTGATACAGTTAATCACAAATTATTATTAGAAGCATTGGAGAGAATTGGTTCCAGAGGAAACGCGCACTCACTGATCTAAAGTTATTTGTCCCACAATCTGTGGAGATATCAGGATCATTTAGTAAAGAAATGTATATTAAGTGTGGTGTCCCACAAGGAACTGTCTTAGGTCCGCTGTTATTCAATATATATTTAAATGATATTTTCCAAATTAATTGTGTTGGCAAAATAACTAGTTTTGCAGATGATACTGCAATATTATATGAAGGCACTGACTGGGCTGATCTGAAAAATGTAATTGAAAATGATTTTATCAAAATTATTCGGTGGTTCAACAGTAGAAAATTAAGCATTAACAACTCTATAACACATTTTTCACCATTTGGATCTTATGCTAGACATCTGCCAAATTACACAAATTTCTCCTTCAATGTTAATGATCAAAAAATGCAAATTAATAGAGTGCCCAACATAAAATACCTTGGAGTGGTCTTGGATCCTCACTTACGATGGGACATCCATGTCAATTATATTTTAAAGAAAGTTAGATTTGTATCCTACAAAATTAAATACCTTGGGAATATATTGACAGAAAAATATCTTCGAACATTATACCATGCACTGATTGAGCCTCATCTCACATATGGTATATTAGCATGGGGAGCTGCATGTTCCTCACATATCTATAATTTAGATGTTTTTCAAAAAAGTATTCTAAAAATGATATTTAAAAAACCGAAACTTTATCCCACTGAAAAATTATACCCAGATGTTCGAATGTATCATATAAGACAGCTTTATTTCTTACACAGTATCACTCACTACCATAAATTTGTAAACACCGACCAAAAAATTAAACATAATCATTATACCAGGTACAAAATTCGTGGCACAGTAGTTCCTCAACCGCATAAATCTATAATGCAGCGATCATATCTCTATTTAGCGCCTAAATTTTATGAAATTATACCTAAAGACTTAAAAGATTTACGTTTCGGAAATTGTTTCAAAAGAAATTTAAAAAAGTGGCTACATTCTATATCTAGGGCTGAAATTCATAAACTCATAAATACGAACATCAACTAAATACATAATCTACTGTAGCTAATTTTTGTCCTTCTTTGTCATTTGCATTCTACAGTTTCAACTTAAATTTATTGGTCCATGTACAGGCGATGCCTTCTATTGGGCCTGTTTTGATTTTATATTTATTTACTCATATTGTTTGTTATCTTTGTACATTGAGTGAATAAATATTATTATTATTATCTCAATATTCACCTGATTATATAGGGTGGCCCAACGAAAAGGCCGCATCCCAATTTGTAACCCTCCTGGTATATTTTGGGAAAAAAAACGTCAATTTTGATTTACAGGTGGACGTCGTTTCATCTATAGCCGAACAATACAGGGTGATCCAAAAGTATGATATTGTGTTACACTTTAGTTTTTTAAATAGAAGGGGTAATTTTTTTAATTTTCAGATTTTCTATGAAGCTTTTAGTAACTTTTGTATAATAAAGTTTATGCCTATCTTCAATCGCTGTCTGACACTATCCCTAATTTTGAACTAATTTAGTCATATCAACTTAGGTTCACAGGGCCATTGTCCGAGGTTATCAAAACGAGGTCTTCCATAACAAGTCTTACCATTTCACCGCATATTTGGATTCAGGAATTCTCTCACTCTTTATTAACGTTTCCCGCTTACCGCCTCTATGAAACCGTTCGCCTTCCATAATATCAGCCCGATCACCTTAAATAAAACACGCGAGGTGTTTGAACCCCAGATAGCGTTAATTGAATTTTCTATCTCTAATTGCTCCTAATTCATAACCAAGGAGCTGTTGGGTTAATAAAAATTAGTCACGCGCAACTTTGCGTCCCGTTATGTTCTCTATTTGGTACTGGATATGCAGCGATGGTATATGAATGCGTTTCTGGTATTAGGTATAGACACATTTGGTTGGAAAGTAGTTGAAAGTATTAGTTTGATTTAGTGTAGGCGGAAGCATCGCTTTATGGATCGTTTTAATATCCGTGTTTTTTATTTGAATTACTGTTCTTGTTGATGTGAAACTCATTTTGGAGTGTACATCTCGACAGTGTCTATTTAATAAAAACTCCATGGATGATCTAAAAATCGAAAAATGTGGCTACAGATGATAAGACGTCCCCTTAGAAATCAAATTTGACGTGTCCGACGGTTTTTCCCAAAATATACCAGGAGAGTCACAAATGGGGGTGTGACCCTTTCTGTATATGTTTGGATATAAAAACAGTCAAGTCATCATTTGCAAAAGCATCACAGGACGCTAAAGTGCTACATACTCCTAATAAACAAAATATTCCTTAAATATATAAATATTTCTTCTGTAGCGGTGTGACAGTGACGACACCACCGCAGACCAGTTGGAGTTTGGGACGCATTGCACAGTCGGCGGTGCCCTCCACGACGTTGTAACATCGCGTCGTGCACGCAACACCCACGGTCACAACAACGGACTTTTATTTAATTTTCCCGTTTTTACCGGGATCCGAAGTTTCAAAACCCCGATGATGATGTATGAAGCTCCCACAGAGTTGATGCTCATAGTAGTAGAGACGCACACACACAGTTTTTGTGAAACTCTCGGGGAGGATGAAATGTTATATTTAGTGTTTTGTGTAGTATGTTAAGAATCCGATGTTACGGTATCGCAGTTTCGCATTTTCATCATTTATAACACGATTCTCACAACAGTACGAATACTGAAATGAGCTATACTAAGTGACATATAAATCCGAACACCCAGTTTAAATGGTTTTATTTTAATAAAATTTTGTATAAGTACTTAATGAAGCATAATAAGTAAAAGATAAAAATTTCAAAATGATTGCACTGCTTTAAAGCCCTTTGACCTTTAATAATGTGTGGATGCACCCTGATGTGCTCCAACGCGCCTGGGCATGCTTCTGATCAGGTGGTCAATGTCCTCCTGTGCTATCTCATTCCAGGCAACCACCAACTCCTCTCGAAGTGCTTCTAGTGTCTGAGGAGGACGTTGCAAATTGAGCAATCTCCTACCCATCATATCCCACACGTGCTCAATTGGGGATAAGTCGGGAGATCTTGGTGGCCATGGTAACAATGTGAC